AGCCTGGGACTGGCACATTGGGAGCTACTCCCACCGTGGGTGCTCTTGCCCTGCTCCCTACAGCACCCCCTGCTGGGAGAGGCTGGAACTAAAGAGGAAGGAAGGCTGGGAAGTCTCTTGCCTGGAAAGCTGTGTTGCACAGCCCCAGCAATGCCGCTGTTCCACCTAACGGAGGCTGTGCTAATTCCTTCTCCTGCCCCCAGTGCTGGCCTCAGAGGCTGGGCCCCTGCTTGTCCAGCTGGCATCTCACCCAGTGCTTTCTGCCTCCTCTCCCTGCAGAGCCAGTGCCAGGAGCTGCCCCCACTAACCCAGCCCCTTCCACTGCCCATGGTGGATTTCAGCCTCCTGGAATGGAAATTGAAGACAGTGAGTGAAGCCGGGGGTCCCAGGGGTGGGGGATGGGTTGGGTAACACCTCCAGCAGCTGCAGCCCAGGAGTCCCTGCTCTTCCCTGGCCGGGCAGGGGAAGACGATCACTTAGCCCATCTTAGAGGGGGAAGCAGACACTGAGAGAAGTGACCTGCCCGTGAGGGGAGGGGGGTATTTGTTTCTCTCCCACATGCCATCCACTGGCTGTTGCCCATGGGCTCAGCGGGGGGCGAGCAGTCCCACCTGCAGGCTCCCCCACCCCCTGCTGCTGGGCTAGATGTGGGAAGGACTGGGATGCTCACCCCTTAGTCCCTGCCTGCAGCTGGAGGGGGGCAGCCCCTGCAGCACTGGGGTCGGACACTCCCCCCCCCATCTCTGTCCCTTCAGAATGAGACAAAAAGGCAGGAAATCGTCTGTCACCTGGCGCTGCTGGTGGATGCGGTGACGGCTGCACAGGACCAAGTGAAGCAGGAGTGTGCGGCTGCCTTGCTAGGGCAGCTCTACAAGAAAGCCAACTCCTTCCTCTTGCTCCTGCAGACCTTCAGCTGGCAGGTGAGACCCCTTCTGCTGGTTGTGCCCTGTCCCCGCCCCCCTGCCCTGCCCTTCCAGCCCCATTGCAGCGGGGCGAAGACTCACCTTGGCTCCTCTCTAAACCTGGAGTCCCAGCTGCAGATTTGCCCCCACGTGTGGATGGTGACTCTGAAGGGGATTGCTCTGAGCAGGGAAAGCAGCGCGTCTGAGCTCCCGTTCTCTGTTTGGGACAGGTCAGCGCCTGGCAGCCGGACTGCGCCTCCTGGACAACCCCACAGAGCCACCCCAGCGTGATCTTCCTGGTCTACAGGCAGCTCGTGCAAGGCAAGCTTCGCTTCTTCTTCCACGACCTGGCAAAGGATTTCTGCCAGGAAGGGAGCCAGGGGAGTGCCAGAGCCCCTGAGCACCCCATGTCCTCAGCTGCCGCGAGGGGACCATGAAAGCCCTGCCTGCTGATGGGGGCATCCACCAGGCTACAGGGGGAGAGAGGGTGGGAAGGAAATAGATCCTGCCCCCTGCTCTCTAGAGATGGGGGAGATCAGGGCGGAGAGGGCTCTGCTGGAGCGGAGGAGAGATGGCAGAGGACCAGAAAGGTGGCTCCTTCAGCCACAGAGAGACCCCACTGCTGGGTCACTCAGTGTCCACCCAGAGCGAAGACTTGAGAGCGGAGCAAAAAAGGGCCTGGTCCCTGAGAGACTGGAGGGGCCCGAGACGACGATTCTCAGCTCTGCCCAACCCAGGAAAAGGGAGGGATCTGCTCTCTGGAGAGAGCACCACTGGACGCATGGTGAGGCAGGCTCTGTGGCATGGGGCCTCTGAACCCAGCCAGCCCAAGTGCAACGTGCGCAGCACCAGAGAACTCGCCACCGCGCCAGGGCACGTGAGAGCCGACTTGCTCCCCATTTGGCCCTGCACCACGGGGCAGGGGACTCGCAGTCCCAGGGGAGCAGCTGTCAGAACGCAGATGGGGACTCGCACACTTGCAGCCCCGAGGTTCGTGTCCTGTCTCTGGGCATGGGCCCAGCCCCCCGCATAGCCCATACTGATGCACTCGCTCATGGCGACGGTGGAAGAGGAAAAGGCAAGGGAGTTACGGGGTCTTGGACCAGGAAAACATCTTACGATTAAAGAGCTTATTTTTCTAAAGAGCCCTGTGATCGCAGAGGAAAGCTCTTCAGCAGAAGGGAAGCTTTGAGAGCTGGGCCTAGCACTGGGACGCAGGCCTGCTGGGGACCCATGCCTGGGGGTGCCAGCCTTTTTATTCTGGGGCTTCAGTGAGAAATAGACTCTTCCATCCCCCTCCTCAGGGGTCCTGTTCAGGCAAGGCTCCAGCCCATCCGGGAGAACAGCCCCACCCTCACTTGAGCAAGGTATCCAGCGCCCCCCTGTGGCCCCTGCAAAAACAGCAGGAGTGCCTTTCCCAAAGTGGCACACACACTTTCTCCTAGCCTGGCCCGTTACCCATCTCGCAGGCATCTCCCCTTCCATCCTGGCCATGCCGCAATTTCTAGGCTGAATTACATGGAAGGGGACAGTGTTAGGAGACTAAGGCCGCGTCTATGCTACAGCAGCCGGGCTACAGCAATGCTGCTGTCATACAAAAGCTTCCCACAATCTGCTGCATTCTTTTCCTCCCTCCACCCCTCTCCAAAATCCAATCCCCTCGGCCCTCCACTCCCCTCCCAGCTCTCCTGGGCAGCGGTGTGCGGGGGCCATTCACGCAGCCAATCATGGTGGAACTTTCATGATGGGAGCTCAAGACAGGAACTCAGGGCACAGAGAGGAACATAAGGGCAAAGGTTCAGCCCCAGACAGGTCACAGGTAGGGTGTTGCCCAGGGGCACACCATGTGGAAGCCTTGGATCACAAGGTCTCCAGCAGGGGATAGGAGAACTTATGATCCAAGTGCAGGTCTTAAAACTTTTTGCCGTCTTAACCCAGGGTCACAGTCTGGTTACAGCCAGAAATGACCGGCGAGAATAATGGCAGGGTCAACGCGGAGACAAAATCAAGTATCAGGAAACCTGCCAGTGCAATTAGCTCAGCAACGCCTGACACAAGTGACTGACACATTCATGCCTGCACCCCAAAGCCAGTGCATGGAGAGGGGGGAACACTTGAAACACCAGCATTTTTCCTCTTCCGTTGCTGATCCTTGTAGCAGGATGCTGAGACTGGAGCTCTCTCGCTGCTGGCCGAGAGTGTAGCAAACTGCTGGGCTGATGCATTTGATTTGACCCCCGTGGTCCCAGTCCCAGCCAGTCTCCCAATAGCACAGCTCCCAGGCACCTCTCCCCCGCATGTCCCCCCGCTTGCTAAGAGTGACACAAGCAGGGACCAATCCGAAGCACTCACTTTAATAGAAAGCCGGGTGGGGTGGTTCAGTAACTGCCCCCTGCCACAGACAGGCCACAAAACACGGTGCTGGCCTCTGCGATGCAGCCAGCAGTGAAGCTAAAAGGGAAGTAGCCCCCCAGCCAGTACAGGAGAGGGCTCTGGAAAGAAGCCCATGACACGCTATGAGGAGTCTACACGGCACCACTCCCCGTTGCCCCCAGCCAAGGCCCTGCCCAGAGCTCTCTGCTCATGAGGGGCAGACCACTGGCCTGGATCAGAAGGGGGCTGTGGACCCCAGCAGAGGGGCAATACTGGTACAGGAGTCTGGACTGGCAGGGAGTACAGCAGCCTAGTGGCTCCCTTTCTGTATCACTCCAGAAGGTCCGGAACGGCCAAAGGAGCCGAAACCCAGCGGCTACTGAAAACAAGGGTCCCCGTCCTGGCCAGCAAGTCCATGTCTGGCTGCAAAGCTTGCGTATGAGGCAGGATCCCAGCTGCAGCCACAGTTCCTAGCGGTTCGGGTCCCTGCGACTAGAAGGCCAGTTTCTTCATCAGGAGGTAAACCCTGGAATCCACTTCAAAGCCGTGCAGGTTGTTGGCGTCTCCCTGGAGTCTCATGAGCAGCCCCCCGTAGGACACATAGGCAGAACTAGGGCAGAGGTGAGAACAAGACCCACGGATCAGGGAGGGGCATCACTCGGGCTCTAGAGGTCTTACAGCCAAGAGGCAGCCATAGTTGCTCACCTCATCAGTGTCAGGGAGCACACTGGC